TTTCAGCAAATGTAATAGTGGTTTTAGGTTTAGTCTCATTGAGTTAAACTTGTTTTATTCATATATTTTTATTTTCGGAGAAGGCAGATTTGAACCCTTCTCTTTGCGTAGGGGTATGCATGCAGCTCTTATTGTGCCAAATGCTCAGGTAAACTTCTTTTATTTTGCTGTCAGCTTAACTCAACTGAGCTTAATCCCAAACTTTCTTGTTATTTGCTTCAAGAAAATTCAACAGATATTTCTTTATAAGAGAAAAGGGTGAGAATAAAAAGGTGTTTAGAAAAGTATCTCTGTTAGGCATTGGTAACTTACCATTGTTGCATTGAAAAAATGTTATCACCACAAGCAAGAATGCAATTTTGCATTCATTCATTTCAATGTACTTCTCTTGGGTTTTGGCTTATCTTTTGTTTGTGATATTTCTTTCATTCAGTTAATGGCACTGGGGCCAGTTCTTATCATTAAATTCTTTATTTGCATCTTTATTGTCTTTGTTTGATTCACCCTATTGGAAACTAGATTTATTCTGCAGTTGAAGGGCTTGGTTGGTTCATATTCCAAGTCAGATTGGTATGCGTGTTGAATTTGCACAAAGATTCCAGAAAATTCCCTCCTCGTTCTGTGATCTTCCATTCACTTATGCATGATTGTTGTGCTCGCTTTACCTCTGTATCTTGAAATTATAAGCTATGAGCCTATGAGATGATTGACTTTTTCCCCCTTAACTCCCTTTTGTTCCTAGATTCATGGTAAAACAGAGCTGATAACATCATCATGGCGTCCGGTTCCATTGACTTGGCACTTCTCAACAAAGACTTCTTTGTTACCGCTTCTTAATGAAAAAGGAACCCATATGAATAGGTATTTCAAATAGAAACTGCTGGCTTTATGGGACTTCTTTAGGGAATTTATATGCAGGAAACACATTCGACTGCATAGTTTGAGTATGAAACTGAGTACATGATGTGCGTATCTGTTGGTATATAATTCGTTTTTTTTTTTTTTTTTGGGGGGGGGGGGAGGAGGGGTTAAGAGTAGCACTGCTCATGTTACATTTACCAAAATACTTTTACATAGATTAGCCTTTTCTTTCTATAATAATAATTTGAAAGTGGTAGTCTTAGGCATTTATATGCAGCCTGAGGGAAGAAATTGGAATACATAGTTTTTGTGTGAAATTATGGATGCTTGACGTGTGTATCTGGTAGTATATAGTTTGTATTTTTTGGGGGTAAGATAAGCAGTCGTTATTTCACATTTACCAAAATAACATAGCTTTTTTTTGGGCATTCTCTGTCTCTCTCTCTCAAATAAATGATAATTGCTACAATTTCATAATTGTATATGTTTTCCTTAAATGATTGCATCTTATCAATGACTATTTTCTGTTATTTGGTAATTAAATAGGCATATAGGCTTGCAAGTTATTGCTTTCTGTGTTCCAATTATCAGTTTCAACTTTCGAGGAATGTGAATGTTGTTGAATTTTACCGTGCATTTAAATCATAAATTCATTTACTGCCTTTTCTTTTTCAATGATATTTTTCTTAGTATTGCTGGTATATATTTGTATATCTTACAAAATTTCAATTATCTTTTGGAATTTGGAACAGGAAGTTGTCACTCAATTATTTACAACTTGCTTCTTCCGGAGTTAAATCTTATAGGGATGATGGTTCTAGAAGAAGGAATTCACGAAGACGCGGAAGAAATGGAAACCTTGATAGTATAGTTAGCATTTCTGAGCAGCCTCTTTCAAAGAATGACAAAAACATGATTCGCCGTTCACAGGCATGGTTTAGTGATATTACTTTTTGATTGCGGTTGATGTAATTTTTTTGCAAATAAAGAATAATTGTTCGAGGATATTCTATTTAGCAACAATCCTAATGAAAAAAAGTATTTACGGCATACACTAATTTTCAGGTTCCTCAAGTCACTGATATACTATGGCACCTCGAAGCAAAGGACATGCTCCCAGCAATTTGGTTTATTTTTAATAGGAGAGGTTGTGATGCAGCTGTGCAATATGTTGAAGATTGCAGCCTTTTGGATGAGTGTGAGATGAGCGAGGTAGAACTTGAATTGAAGAGGTTTCGACTTCAGTATCCTGATGCTGTGAGGGAGACTGCAATAAAGGGACTTATTAAAGGGGTTGCTGCACATCATGCTGGTTGTCTTCCCCTATGGAAATTATTTGTTGAGGAGCTGTTTCAGCGAGGGCTTGTTAAGGTCGTCTTTGCTACAGAAACCCTGGCAGCTGGAATCAACATGCCTGCTAGGACAGCAGTTATTTCATCTCTTAGCAAAAGGACTAGCAATGGACGTATCCAGTTAAGCCCTAATGAATTGCTTCAAATGGCTGGGCGTGCTGGACGTAGAGGCATAGATGAAAGGGGCCATGTTGTGATAGTGCAGACTCCATATGAAGGTGCTGAAGAGTGCTGCAAGCTTCTATTTTCTGGAGTTGAACCCATTGTATCACAGTTCACTGCTTCTTATGGAATGGTCTTGAATCTTTTGGGAGGTGCAAAAGTTACTCATCGGTCAAATGAATTAGATGAAATGAATGCTTTACAAGCAAGGAGAACTTTGGAAGAGGCAAGGAAGTTAGTCGAGCAAAGTTTTGGAAACTACTTGGGCAGCAATGTAATGCTTACTGCAAAAGAGGAGCTTGCTAAAATACAAAAGGAGATTGAAGCACTAACTTATGAAATCAGTGATGATGCTATAGATAGAAAAAGCAGGAAACTTCTATCAGAGATGGCATATAAGGAGATCGCAGATTTACAAGAGGAATTAAGGGCAGAAAAATGCCTTAGGACTGAATTACGAAGGAGGATGGAGTTGAAGAGATTTTCTGCTCTGAAACCTCTCTTGAAGGAGTTTGAAAATGGACACCTACCCTTCATTTGCTTGCAGTATAAGGATTCTGAAGGAGTTGAGAACTTAATAACTGCTGTTTATCTGGGAAAGGTTGAGTCGCTTGATGGGACAAAACTTAAAAAGATGGTAGCTGCTGATGATTCTTTTGCATTGAGCGGTATTGGAGCCAAGTTAAGTGCAGGTGCGTCTTACACTCATCAAGACGTCGAACCAACTTATTATGTGGCCCTTGGTTCAGATAACTCCTGGTATCTATTTACAGAGAAGTGGATTAAAACTGTTTATAGGATTGGCTTTCCTGATGTTGCTTTAACTCAGGGGGATGCATTGCCTCGGGAAATAATGAGGAAACTTCTTGATAAGGAGGAAATGCAGTGGGAAAAACTTGCTGACTCTGAGCTTGGTGGTTTATGGTACACGGAAGGATCCCTAGAGACATGGTCTTGGAGTCTAAATGTGCCAGTTTTAAGTAGTCTTTCTGAAAGTGATGAGGTGTTACATATGTCACAAGAATACAAAGAATCTGTAGAACATTACAAAGAACAAAGGAACAAAGTAGCACGACTGAAGAAAAAGATAGCCCGTACAGAAGGCTTCAGAGAATATAAGAAGATCTTGGACATGGTTAAGTTTACTGAGGAAAAGATAAACCGATTGAAGGCTAGATCAAATCACTTGGTTAATAGAATGGAGCAAATTGAGCCATCTGGTTGGAAGGAGTTTCTGCAAATCAGCAATGTCATTCATGAAACGAGGGCGTTAGACATCAATACACGTTTAATATTCCCTCTTGGTGAAACTGCAGCAGCAATGCGAGGAGAAAATGAACTCTGGCTGGCAATGGTACTTAGAAATAAAATCTTGCTGGAGTTAAAGCCTGCACAACTGGCTGCTGTCTGTGCAAGTTTAGTTTCCGAGGGGATCAAGGTTCGTGCTTGGAAAGACAATAATTACATATATGAACCTTCCACTACTGTCCAAAATGTCATTAGTTTATTGGATGAACAAAGAAATTCCTTTCTACATCTTCAACAGAAACATGGGGTTGAGATACCTTGCTGTTTGGATAGCCAGTTTTCTGGAATGGTCGAAGCCTGGGCTTCTGGCCTATCTTGGAGGGAATTGATGATGGATTGTGCCATGGATGAGGGTGATTTAGCACGCCTTTTACGCCGAACAATTGACCTTTTGGCTCAGATTCCTAAATTGCCTGATATTGATCCCTTGCTGCAAAAAAATGCAACAACTGCCTCTGATGTCATGGACCGTCCACCCATAAGTGAGCTTATTGGATGATGAAGTGCCTTTGCAATAACCTATAAATTAGGTATTCTTGTTGTACGATATAATCTCAACTTGGAATTGGCTACATGCTTACATCAACAAAATTGTACGACTACCATGAAAGAGTATATATTTTGTGTATGAAAATCCGATTCACGATTCAACTGTAAAGATACAACAAATTACCTACTAATTTCCTTTTAGGTCTGAATAATAATAAAAAAAAAAAGAACAATTTTCAAATTTCTCAAGTCAAATCAAGTTGCGTGCGTTTTTTCATATGGTAAATAGAAACAAACTAGGTGCTAAAAGTGCCAACCAAATTTTAGTTCTTTTTACTTTATTTTTTATTAAAAAGAGAGAGAGAGAGAGAGAGAGAGAGTTGGTTTATTAGCCTAGTCAGGAAAGGACCGATTCTGGGTAGCATTGCCTGGAGTCCTATCGCGCGGACATCTATGATCTAATATGGAGCAGTTCTGCTTTGTGTTCTGTAGCCTACTTTACCCAACTTTGGGTGGATTGGAAATATCGTTTTTTGATCCGTCCGGTCTGGGTGGTTTCAGCCAAGAAAAACTCTCAGCTTAATTACCCACAGAATCGACCAGACCTACTAGGTTATTTTTATTTTTATTTTTTTAATTTTTGGGCCCACATGAAACGAAAGAAAGACATACTAGGTTTAATATTTTTTATATTTGGCCTTACTCAAAAACTCAATCGTATGCTGCATGAAGCTCCTATTTTTGTATTATATCTTTATATTTTTATCCTCATAAAATCTCTTCAAAAAGAAAAAAAAAATCAATAAACACTAATTGCAAAACTTCTAATTCAACTTTTTTATTATAAGAGATATGCTACGGCAAAACAAACAATAAATTTAATCCATTTGTAAGTGTAAAGCTGGTATGCACATCAATAATTAATATAATAATACTAAAACTGAAGCAGTGCAAGCTTCATCAAATGGAGAAGAGCCTAAGAAGATTTCAGTGGGAGCAAAAAAAATGAGTTCAAAAAATTTAGATGAATGGCTATTGAACACTACTGTGGCTAAATTTAGATCAGTTCAAGATATATATATATATATATATATATATATATATTTGAGGGTGATACACCAGATATCATATTCCCTCTATGTACACTACTGTGGCTAAATTTCCATCACCGACTTACAAAGATAATAACTACAATCATTCCAAGCCCTCATCCCTCAATATTTCTTATTTGGTTGGTGAGATAGAAATATCATAATAGTACATTGAACGATGCTTTCAAAAAAAGGTTTTCCACTTGCTCTGGCACTGTCAAACTCTTTCAACGTCTAGAGAATCTAATTCATGCATAACCCAACTGATAAAACTAAAATATATATATATATATATATATATATCTGAAGCAAAAATGTCAGAGGATATGTCATCTTTTTACCTTGGGATCACTTAATTTGGAATATAAGGAATTGGATTTCGCTTATAAATTATGCTCTTTTTCCTTTAATTTCGAGCAAATAGATAGCAGCAAATGGATTCAGACGTACCGTATCTACTTATGCCATTAAAGTATATGCCAGAAGCAATCTCTGAAATCGCTGTTGCCTTTGTAGTCTAATTGAACTACCATTGGTTGCCTGGTTATGGCATGAGCTGTTCTGATTCGAGGCTGGCTGCTGCCTCATTCGGAACAAAAAATCTTCTGTATCTAAAACATATGACATCTACAAGGTACAAATTCACTCATTAATTTACATATATATACCCGATATCACTAAATGACCATAACTAAATTTCATCATAACGAGAAGGAATTTCTAATATGATATACCTTGGAAGAATTGCAAGCAATCTTGCACTCCAAACCATTAACGACTTTAAGTCCTTCTGTTGCCCGGCATGTTGAAGAAAGCTCATCACCACCCACACATTTGCGTATATTCCTGCAAACACCACACTGTGTCATGATAACTCGTTAGAGTAAATGTCAACAACTTTGTCTATTGTCAATATACCTCTTCAAGAAAATTCCAGGCTTCCCTTTTTCCTTGGGAACAATCGAGAGAAAATCATTGTGCAAATATGCTGCAAAATTAGGGTCCATGGAAACAGCTGTCACTTCAGGCTTATCATGCCCATAGTCCATAAGCTGGATGGAAAGATGAGTTGGTGTGGAAGACTGCAAACATGAAATATAACATGCAGACTGCATGTGAGAGTTCTACATTAAAGATGAAAATAAACCATCAAACTAAGAAAAATAAAAAAGATAAGGATAAGACTTACACATTCAATACGATATATATTTTCATCATGAAGGAGAACACGAGCATTTTCATGATAAACAACATCAACAAATCTTCCAGATTTTCTTGATTTCTCATATGCATATAGTTGAAGAAGCTTATTGTCCATTTCATCACTTGCAACAGCTTGAAGCTGAGGCAAGCACCACAAAGATTAAAAATTTATGGTCAAAAACACAGAGGGAAAGAAAGAGAAACTTTGGAAAAGAAATTAGCAATACCTGTTTGACAAGTTTATATATCAGCTTATCCAGCGTGAATAGAACATATGACTGAGTTCCAATTATAGCTCGGCAATCATCCTCAAATTTTGTATTGTCAGAAGAGCCATCAAGTAAATTGTAAAGTGCACTCATGAATCTGTATCATAAAAGAATTTAAACCACTTTTTAACATTGCCTGCAGCAACATAAGTTAAACTAAATTACCTGGCATAGAGATCAGTAGGACTTGGATCACTTGATGCCCTCCATTTCCTATCTGCAGATGATGAATTAATCTTTGCTGATTGTATTCTCTCGTACAATGTCTGTACAAATTGTGTAAGGAGATTACTACGTTGATGACAAACATACAACAAATATCCATTTAGGTTAGTAAAATATTAGTACTTCAATAAAATGATACTTACTTGGTGAAGCCTAAAAAGCACACAAAATGAGTCATTTCCATAAAAAACCCGTGAATCCTTCTCATTCTCATGTAATGCCCAAGGGACATGCTTTGTAAGGGGCTTTATAGTTACTAGAAAACATTCTGAAAATGGTAACAATGTTCCATCCCCTTCCACATCATGGGCATCAGCCATCCGTTCAGCCTTACCTTCACTCTCTGCTTTATCATCATGTTTGTCATGGTCTATATCTTCCTCTTGCTCCTCCCTTGATTCACCTTCACCAGAATCGCTTCCAGAAACCTCACCATTCTCAGAAGCATTCTCACTATCTTCTGATGTCCTCTGAACACTTTCCTCAGCTTCATCATCAGCATCATTCTCTCCCTTAACCTCTCTGCAGCATGCTTCTTCCTCTCCATGTCTCTGGCATTGTCTGTTTGCTGCACCATCCTTCACCTTATGGGCAGTCTCTAAACCAGCTTCTCCATAATCCACAAAATTGTCTTCCTCAAAATCCCTATTTGGCGATAACTCACCTTCTTCCCTTTCAACTTTAAGTTGTCCAACAGATTCTTCATTATATCTGTGACTTTTAATTGCTTCTGTTATCATCCCATTGCCAGATAAGATTGGTCTAGAACAATTGCCACCCTGCAGAATATATAAATTTCAGATAATTTCACAGTAAGATTATACGTGTCAAAATCCAAAACCATTTTTTTTCTTCCCACTAACTGTATATGACTTTAGTCAAGTTGGACTCTCCAATCACAGAGAATATGCCAGCTAATGCTTTCATTCTATACACAACTTCTATAAACAGTAATAGATACTTTTCAAAGATACCATCACAGTCACATTGCAGACACTTCATGAGGAATTTCTACCAGTCCATTAAACACCAAAAAGGAAATAGCAGGAGATGAGTCATTATGCATACAAAGTTAAACGATAAACTTTATCGATCATTTAAATATCCAAATGGACAACTGAAAGTACATTTTATCCATATCAAGAAAGAGCATCAACCATGGGGGACAGATTGTTGAGAACAATAGTGAAGCAAAGGAAATAATTTATTCCTCATATCAAGGATGCATTCAAACTGAGAGCCAAATGAGTTCTGCCATACCTCTGATGAAGGTAAATTTTCATTAATTGACTTTAACTCAAATCCACTCTCAACAGCAGCGTCACCAGGTCTGGAAGGATTAGCACTAAGACCTTGCAACAAAATATATCTCAGCATTCTAGTCAACATTTTAGGAAAAAGGAAAAATCAAAAAAATAACTAGGTGGCACCAAAATGAAACCATTTGAGGTTTAAGCAAACCTGAAGCATTCTTTAGACTAGTTCTTCCATTGCTTTGCTCCACTCTGGCAACAAGAGATGCATTTGAATTGACTAATCGTTCATTGGAACTGGCTTGTTCACTGACCCCTGATATTTCATCACCATTAGCTGGATTAACCTGCATTCTATCTTGTTGAGGAGCATCACAGGAGGAATCGTTCTTATGACCAACACGATCTATATTGGCAGAACCATCTTGTTTGACACCATTATCCCCTTTAAGCATCCAAGACCTACAAGAACTTGATTGCTCAGGTGGAATACTTTCATCTCCATTTCTGGAAGGATTTGAATGCTTCGAATTCATGGCAACAACACCATCAACAGGGCTCCCTTCACTCTCACCAACACTAGCACTACTGTTTTTAACGTTGTTGTTCTTAGTCTTCACAACATCTTCAGTGTCCTGTGCTCCCTGAGGACGGGAAGGAACACAAAGCATGGGTTCCAAGATGATAGTCCATATTTGCATTACTTTATCCAATTCTTCAGTTGTACACATTTCTCCACAGGAATATTTGATGAGCTGATAAAGATCTTCATGAATTTCAGGATCAGGGTATTCAAACTCCAAATTTGGAATAATAGGTCGACTGTTTCCAGCAGCAATAGCAAGAAGCACATCATCTTCTTTGTACTTCTTCTCACTGATTTCTTTGATCTCAGCCAACAGAGCTGTAACAAATATGAAAAATGGGCAATGAAAACTGATAATATTCAAGGAAACTAAATGTTATACAATTATTTAGTTAAAAGAAAAGTTTTAGATTATTCAAAGACTCAAATATATACAACATTTTTCAATTAGTAAATCCAATTCCAATTAAAAGTATTTTAGAAGTACTAAATTTGTCCTGAATAAGCCAAACAACTGAAAAACTTAGGAAAGAGATGTTGTACATGTAGTTTCAAAAATAGAATCAATCAAATATGCATGAACTTACTCCCAGAGCATAAAGAACAAGAGGAAACATGAAGTCACTGATAGATAAAAGTTTTAAAGACCAGCTTCGATTACTATGATAGTCCAGGACTCTCAGCTGGTATGAATTCATAATAAATTTCAAAGGATTATAAATAACAAATAAAAATCCGAATGCATGCAAACATATGAAATATATAGTGTAAAATGATCCTCCTAGATACCAATACCTTCAACTATTAAGCTCTATATTTTTTCCTATTAAAAGGAAAAAGCTGAAGATACCTTTTGTGCTTAAGTTCTTGGAATCCTGCTGCTTAAAATAGAAGCTACAATGATCAAGCGATTTATGATAATTCTTAGAATAAATTTCAGCCCAAACTTTATTAAAATCAGAACGACATCTAGCCCATTCTTCTTGTTTCTGCTTCAAGCGGGTTAAAATAACTGGCAAAGCAAGATGGGCATTCTTCCTTAATACGTCCATCACATCAAGTCCATGGTCACCATATAAACGTTCAATGCACCTAAGATTAAGAGCTGCAATGACAATCATAAGAGAATAGACATCAGGAAAAGAAGGAAAAGGTGTGCTATACAATGCATATGCTGATATTTTTTATTCATTGTTAATCAGCTTAACCTGTGAAGTGCTCCTCCATGCGAATTGGACTGTATATTTTGATTGTATTATTGTTAATCTTTTCTAATAGTTCTTCTACTCGCTTGGTTGTTACGTTCACAGACTCTACCAACATATCCAGTTCAAACCTGACAACATGAAATAAAGATATTAGTAATTTCCAAATTAATTATAAGTGAAATATTAAAATATATTTAAGAAATCCATAGTGCCACGAAGTAATATAAAGGTGGGCAAGGCTCAAACACACACACACACACACACACACACACACACACAAATAATTTCAATTAGTTCACACTGACATAAAGGGTCATGAAGTTGTGTGCATGCACCCATGTGCAGAGAGAGATTGTGAGGAAAAACTCAACTAAATGAAAGGTAAATTTACAACAAAAGCTTAAGTGATGCCATAAAACAAAAGCAAAAACCCAAATAGAGCTAAAGAGGAAAAAAAAAAAAAAAAACTGCCCATGTATAATAAGGCAAAACACAGGCAAAATGCAACAACAGCTAGGGAAGGTCCAACCTGTCATCTTCACATCGAAATAGGCTTTCTTCATACTGGTTTTTGCGCATGTGTTTGAAAGAGTAGTCCTCACTCCCTGAAGTGACAGAAACCCAATGATCATTGAGCACTTCAGAGCCTAGCTCGGTTCTCTGGCTAGCAGAAGGTATTGGATACTGCAAGGCATTAGACAAATAAGGTAATTAATAACAGAATCAACATATCTTCCAGATCAAAATGACAAGGATGAGTAAGAAGCAAAAACTGCATACATTCTCAGGAAGAAGTCGATAACTAGGAGTACAGCGTTCACAGTTAGAGAGGTCAAGTTCATTAATGGGTTTGCCCATGTATTTATCTTTGCTGGACAATAAAGAAACCTTATGACTTCCTGCATCTTTATTGCCAAAGGAACTTTTATCAAGTCTATCCCTATCCCCAGTTTCGCGGTCTCTATCTTTGACTCCATCCCTTTCACGATCTCTATCCCTGTCCTCCATCTTAAGTGATCTAGGTAACTGTCCTTCATTCCGCAAGAATTCTGCAAGCATATAATTTGCTAAGAACTTTGAACTAAATGTTATCAGCTCAAGTTGGTTCCATACGCAATATTTTGAAACTCAACCAAAAGTAGAGGTCAGTTCAGTTCAGCCACGATGCTCCATTGCTTTTGTCTAACATGAATCAACAATAAATATTAAGACTGTAATAGTAATAACTCTACTTTGTTATAAACTATGAGGAACTCTTAACTAAAGTTGATAAGAGGGTTAACAGATTGTTTTACTTACTTTCACTAACAAAATCAGCAAGCAAGCCCTCTGCATAATAGGATTTGATTAGTCAACACTGACAATGCATAATTTATATCAGAAAACTTAAAGCTTTTGTCTCACATACTTACCATTCTTCTCACATCGCACCAAAAACTTATTGAAACCATCCATCAGATCTGGGTAACTTCCAAGCAAATCATTAACCTAACAAGAAAAAGTTTCCGAAAGTTACTAGTTTTATTTCAGTCATGTCTCTAACTGAGCAGTTTTCATATGTCTCCAGGAATTATATCAAACAAAAATGATGCTAAATTATGATTTTGGAGTACAAATATTATGATGTTGAAATTCTGAAGAGTGCCTAGGCAATTCAAAAAATGCTGGACTACCTCGAGCTTTTATCAGTTGAAAAACATAATAAAACTTTAAGTGTTCCAACTAAAATATGTAAGGTACAACATGAATCCCTCCAACAAACTAAAATATGTAAGATAAACTACAAGAATTCCTAATGTGAGCTGATGAAGAAATTATTAAATTATAAACTAAATGTGTCTGTTAACCATACCAATAATTGCAATTCTGTGCGTGAGATTACTTCATTGCTGTAGAGATGAAGGCACCTCAAAAATTCCTGATAACGATCAGGATTTCGTAACTTCTCCTTCACTTTATCGCAAAAAGCAAATTCCTGATTATACACACCTGATATGGAATGAATTAAGTCTAAGAAGTAACATGACAAGACAGATCAAAAGGCAAATAATGAAGATTTAAAAATTTTACACTAACCCAAATTTCCATGACAATCATACAGATGAGAGTTTCCATAAGACGAAAACATCCATTCAGGAAAATCATTGCTATTCGAATAAATGATTTCTCCCTTCTAATACTTCCAGGAAAAGTATGCAGATAAAAAGGAACTTAAATGAAGAGTGAATTTGTCAATGTGAATAGCAGACCCCACAAGAGAAATGTTAATTAATATAATTTTAAATTATATTTTATGGGATTGAAATGTCTTACATTAAAGAAAAGCACTTATTTATGTTTTATTTTTGTCAGCCATAGCTATGTCCAAAAATGTTTAACTGAGAAGCAAAAACTCACTTTTCATTGCATTTTTATCAACATATGCAGGGCCGTCTCCAACTTGCTGCAGTTGCTCAACACCTGAGTCTTCACCCCTATAAGCAGGTTTTCCATTCCGTTTATGTGGAAACCGCATGTTGAAGTCTCTGCTGCCATCATTAGCAATGTCTCGATCATCATGTTCTTGGTCTCTCCTATCTCTGTCTTCTCTTTTGTCCCTTTCTTTTTCACCATGCCACCTTTGCTCTTTTTCTCCTTTCATCATAACTCTATTTGTATCTGGATCAGGGAGTTCCACACTAAGGTCACGGTCAGTATGCAGAGCTGTAGTCCTATCTTTCTGCCAGATATTCTCATAAATCAAATGTTAGCCTGTTGTCAACAAGTAATCAGGAGTTAAAGATTAGGCTAAAAGAAACCTTGTCAGCAGGCACTGCACGCATTCCAGGCATAGCAGAGCTCCTGTCTCGGGGTATAGAGTTTCTACCAGAGGAGGCATAATGATTAGATGCTGTTGCCGATGTATCAGGCAGAAAATGAGTGAACGCCAAAAGCAGATCTGGGTGGTCTTGGAAAAGAGCAGCAACCTATATAGAAGTATAGTTTCTACGCATCAAAATCCAACGTCCTAGCCAGTATATAAATTCATTAAAAAATGCAAAGAGGGAAAATAGAGAGAATAAGGAAAGTATAACTAGACACACCTCCTGGTAGACCTCAGTGATAGACTTGTTTTCTTTTCTATACACGTTCAAAATGTCTAAAAATGACTTATAGACATGGTCATCACCCTGAAACCTTCTCTGCAAGAATCCAATAATGAGATCAGAAACTTTGCAGGCAGAAAACCTATCTCAGAAAATTCAGCAATAACATAAAATTTCTACCTTAATCTCGTTCACAAAATTAATAGCTTCTTCAAACTCCACTGGCTTCTTTTGGGAAGGTTGTTCATCCTCTAGTGGGAGAGTGATCTCATATCCTTTAGGCAAAAAGGTATTGAATCCCAAAATTAGGTCTCGATACCCTTTAAATAACTCCTTCACCCTTGCTATGACACCGGCAGTGTCAATCCTATGCTCAACATTCAATTACCACAAGTCACAAATTGCTTCACACAAACATTACCAAAGGATAAAGAGCAAAACTTTAAGATATATATATATATATATATATAATGATGAGACCTTTGAGCCTTGAAGTCTTTCATTACTTCAAGAAAGTGATCATATTTCTCCCTTTTCTCTTGAAATATGTCTTTAACCGCCTTGAGATACGCCAATGCGTCATTTGACTTCAGCTTCTGCGTAGCTCCTGTCCCTCCCGCCATCTTTGGTTGCCCAGAGCTTCATCATCCCAAAACATAACACCTCGTGAGATTAAAGAACATTTCCAGTAAATCATTGCATAACTACGGTCATTTACCGTTTTTTCACACAGAACTAAAAAACCCGTATCTTAAAACTACAGACTCTTCCCAGAAGAAAAACTGAAAGGGTGTCCATCCAGAAAAAGAAAGAATATTTACTATTTTTGCTATCTCCAAACCTCTTTAGAGAAAATGAAATATTTCCATCCATAATTTTTTGAAAACCAGAGACCTAAACCAAAAAAACAAAAATGATATTTTCATCAAAGGTCAAAGATAATTCACAACTATGAAAGAGGCCTTACTTGTATTAAACAAATCAAAAACACTAATCAAATCAATTAAACTGAACAAGAGAAAGCAAATCAGCAACAGTAATTGATCTCTAATAATTGGAAATTTAATCTCATTCTTCACTTTTCATAACGAAAACACGAAATTTGACAAATATACATATCATAATATAGAAAGAAGATAAAGTTTTGTTTTACCCTTCTCCTCTAGAAGAAACCACCGGTCTTTTAAGTTGAGAGCCGCCGACGATGTAAACTTCATCTCTAGACCGCTTCATTTCCCTTTTTTCTTTTTCAAATAAAACAGAAACTTTTTCTCTCTTTTTTATTTTTTCTTTATTTTCACCAACAAATCATGCTTTCAACTTCGATCATCTCCAAAAGGAAATTCGTACCACCAACAAAAACACAGTCATTTAAACCAACACAGAGCAGATCTCGAAACCAAACAGAAAATCACCAAACGAAGAAAAAAATTTTTTATCTCCACACCTCCCCAACAGAACACCTGCAAAAACAATTTTTCAAGTAAATTCACATTACTTGCAGATAAAGGCACATCAATGAAAATAATTTTCCAAACAGCAAAAACAAACGAATATGAACTTTCTTCTTTTTTTTTTTTAAACTGTCTAAATTGTAAAAATTAAAAGAAAAAAAAAATAGTCTACGTAAGCATAGCTATTTTCGAGCAAGAAAAAAGTTGTATTTTTCAGATTGTGGAAAGAATTCTTGTGATTGTAGTAAAAACTTTTAAGAGACGAAATTTTATGAGAACTAAAAACTTTTTTTTTTTTTTGGAGAGAAAACAGAGAACAATGTTGGTTGTTTGCTGACGTTAATTTTAAAGAAGGAAAAGAGCTTCAACAATTGTGATTATATACGGGGGAGAGAGGAATATAAAATCCTAGTTAGAAGCGATGGAAGGAGGTGCGGGGATAGTAAATTAGACAGCCGTTAGCCGGTTGCTTTTGCCTGGACTTACTGGGTATAGGCCGTTAATGTTAAAAGGCTATCTATACAATAATAGTTATAAAAGGACAATTAGGGTTCGATTGGGAATTTTTGTGAGTCAATTAAGAGTGTGCCAAGCCCGGTCCTGTTAATCAGGATTGCGAGTGTAGTGGTAACTTCGATAATTGGTTAAGATTAAAGGGTGAAAATGGGAAAATGAGGATAAAAAAAGAGAAAAAGTAATTGCATCATGCGATTAGACTGCAAATTTGAAATTGAACCACGCATGTGTTGGAGGGTCGTTTTTGGGTGAATTCAGGGTTAGGGCAAATGGGTTCATATTTTAGGCTTTTCATCTTTTATTATTATTTAAAAATGTTTATTCTTATTATTCCAATTTTACAACTTTGGGTTTGGCATTTGAACCAGATTATGAGTCGTTGTTATTGTTAAATTGCAGTGTTTTCTTTTTTTCTTTGGATGAAGATAACAATTAGGTTTAAAAAAAATAGGGGATAAGAGTTAAATTAAATTGCTTAATATGTTAAAATAAATTTGAGTAATTTGATTGTTTATGTTATTACCTGTTGCACAAGATACAAAGGATAGTTAATTTAGATATATTTAAGAGTTTGGGTTATTTATTTGCTTCGGAGGTTAGCTCAAGTCCGAGTTGGGCCTGAAAAATATTTTTTAAGCTGTGGCCCATATTATTATTTTATTATAAAAATATATTTTATTAATTTTATTTTTAGAATATATTTCAAAATATTAATTTTTAAAAAATTTTAATATTAAAAATAATCTGGTCTGCTCGAATCTAACGAGGCAAACCCTGAGTATGAGATTTTTAAATGTTCAATCAAACCAGATTCAATTTGAGCGACTCATATACAAATCTAATTTACTTTTTTTTGGCAAAAAGAAAAAAATGTTTAATTTATCTGCAAATGTGGCTGTTGTTGGATTTGGAATTGAATGTGCACGTGGGAAGTGGGAACGGGAAGTAATGGGCTGAGCCAATCCTGACTTAGTGGCTCATCCCAAAAAACTTATGACCAGTACACAAAGTGAAGCGAGGCCCAATTATTAACATGGATGCAAAGTATGAGCCCAAGAGTTGCTTAACTGCTAGGCTGCCACTTAGGCTACGATTAGTTCATCCCCCACTAATTCCATAATAATTCATGAGTTTAGTTCATGAAAGGCTTATTTCATGGAACACCCATTACATTACACCCTTTTTTATTTCCCAAAATCTTTGCATAGCTATTCAGAGCTCTTCTTCTTAATAGAATTATTATAGTTTACATACCTAATTTACCCTTGTTCACATACATATTTTTTGAAATTTCAAACTTGTTCAAATGTGAAGAGTGAGAACCAAGCATACCTCTAGAAGATTGGTGGGCCAAGTTAATCTACTTTGGTTTGACATATATTGACGCCCGTATCAATGATGATGGGTTTCTTAGACTGGACCATTTTCTATCAAGACCAGACGATCACAGGTGGTTTTTATAGATTGTTATTATGGATTATTATTATTTCTCTTCGGGGGTTGTGCCCGCGGATCGGCATATATCCAGTGGAAATGGGATCTGACGCCTATATCCAGTGGCGAGTGGGATACCAAAAGTGGAACGAAATAGATTACTGATTCAAGTGGATCCGCATCAAAATATTTAGGGAAACCAAAAAGCTACAGCATGTGGATCTTACTTTCAATTTTGCTAGTGATCTATATCAGCTCCCCAGAATGAAACAGCTTCAACTGTTTGGCTCACAAGAATGTGGAAATAGCATAATTTTCTCAATCATGTAAATACGTATTTCAACTTGAATTTGATCATTAATTCTAGGTATGAAATCAAGGTCATATATAGAGTAATTTTCTTTCAATGTTTTGATTTTCGAGTTTTACCTTTATTTTTCCGTCACCACCCTTATATTTCAAGGTTGGCTTCCATCATTTCCTCCATCATCTTCCACTTCTTCAACACTCTTCTTCTTAAATTAAAAAAGAAAAAAAGCAAGAATTTTATTGTCGTTTTTATCCTTGATAATAAGCAGAATTACATTAAAAAAAATCAAAATTGTACATCACAATCAACAATTCTCGGCAACTGTAGTAGACTTGTCATTTGTGAACACAGTCATCTTAACTGTTCCAAGGATGAAATGGTATTCTATTTTAGGTGATTAATGAATGCATCATCATCATCAAATGAAGTTGTTTTCACTATTTTTTTTCTTTTTCAATCTAATTTGTCAGCACTACAACAACATCAAAGGCAGAATAAGAGAGTGATAAATGGTCTCAATCACCATATCTTCATTAGTTAGTAAGTTCCCTTTGCTTACCTAAAATCACCAACTTTTAATAGAAAGAAAAGCATCTTATTGTTCAATTATAGCATTCTGCCTTTTCTTTGACTGCAATCTTTCTCATAAATAATCTATCTAAGATCAATTATTAACATCCATGCTTTGAGTTTTACACCAACTCAACCCATTTCTTTAATAGTTTTAAAAATATCAACTTACAAAACAAATATAAAACTATGCATAAAAACAACTTACCTCTATCGTGCCAGCGCTTTTAAGCTTATACGATTGACAATGAAAAGCATAAAGCTAACTACCATGAAACAGGGCAGAGTCGCCCCTTAACACTGACAGACCCGCCACCAATTTCTGCTGCTCTTCAAATTCTAAAACATGTTCGTCTGAATTTTAATTGTTAATCAATAATTTTCAGTTTCTTCATATAATTGAGTTTCATTTTGGTACGCTTTCATGTTTTAGGCGTATTTCTATCTGGACACCAATGTGACTTTAGTTCCTGTCTATCTAGATTCTTGGAATAGAAAAATATTTTTCTATCCTCAATTTTGGAATAGCCTGAGAAGCAATGACTGTTGGGATTTATTTTAAGTGTGATTATATGAATCAATTAAATTAAATTTTAAGTTCAAGATTGATTGATGGTAAGCAGAAGATAATGAGTTTGAAACCTAGGAAAATGGATTAGTGCTAAGCGGAGGAATTTGGTTTGGGCTCAGTTAGAGGCAAGTCAAGTCAAATGAATCTTTAATTAAAAAGAGCAAAATCTTAGGAACAGGCAGGGCTTCAGAAATATGGTTCTAATTCTTGTTCATTACTGAATTATGTACCTACAAATTTAACATGTTCCTCATCATCAAAATGGAATAAAGAAAGGACATTGGCAAATGGTTATTACTGGCCCATGTCATGTGAAGCTGCATTCCTTGAAACCAATGACTTGTGGATAGAGAGGCTTTCTCTCTCAGACGAGGTGGGAAGGGGGACAATGACAAGTACACATTCCCTAATCGAGTCAATGACATAATTTTGTCCTTTTTAGATCAGCCATAACTTTCAAATTTCGATTAAATGCACTAATTCGAACCTGGCTGCATTAGCTTCTCATATGAGCAATTGCTTTGAACTAATAATAATTTAAAAGAAACAATTTGCAAGCCTAATTTCTTCTCTGAAATGCTACTAGCTGGTTTATTTGACAGATAAATGAGTATGAACTTTCTTCTAAAACATCTGCAATTGCTCATGTACTAACATGTTCAGTCACCAAATCACCTTCCACCTTGGTTCATGAAACATGAAGGTTCCCTTTGTTTTTCATGTATTCATTTTTCTTTCTTTCACCTTTTTTTTTTCAAAGAGAGGACTGAACTCAATTTTTTGAGTAAAAGATACATATACTGATCTTAATTTAAATCATATGCTCAACTGTGTTTTCATGTCTTCGTCTAATCAAGATGGAAATGTGAGATCCAATAACATTGATATTGACAGGGAAAGAGAGCTGCCAATGGATCAAACAAGGACTCAGAAAATCATTTCAGAAAACCGACGTAAGAGGGATTGTCAAGTGGTGTAGTGGTGGCCAATGAGAGAATGTTTTTGTGGGATGCCCCTATAATTTAATAACCTCTGTCACACAAAAATAAATAAAAATAAAAATAAAGAAAACCCATGTCGGACTTGACTTTTCTTCTTCCCCAGCCAGCAGTGGAGATACATGTGAAAGTGTCTCCTAAGCAGGAAAATACACATGGAGGACATACAAGAATAATGAAGAAAATTCGATGGTTTTGGTCACAATTTTGAACTTCCCATGTGAAAGGCGTAGCAGCTAGCAATTCAAGGACAAGCTTCTTTGATGAGTTCGACTCTTAGTCAAACAACACAGAGATGGAACATTGGCCATTTGGCCCCATATAAGCCAATTGCCCATGGCATCCACCACCACCCACATTTGCGATTTAACTCTTATTAACGTCTCCCTGTCCTTGTCATTCCTCGGTAGCAATTCAGTCTGGCAAAGCCGTCTGTCAATTAATGATTGAGCTGCAGTGTAAATTAAGATCCCATCAGTTCACAATTTCCTGGCAATTACAAGGATATCACAATTTTCCTCTACGATCTCCTCTACAGTTTTTTATGAACAAGGTTGTAGTCCGGATAATAAAAGAGATTATAATTATTAAGATTTAACTAAATATGTTAGTTCTTAAACCTAAGGAATCAAATTTGTTTGGCCTCTAAGTACAATTTTTTTTTTTTTTATAATTTACCCATTGAAAATTTAATGTTTGAAAATTTGACATAAGATTTTTTGTTTTCTAAATCCAAAATTAAGCCAAAATAAGAAATCAGGATTTGCTATTTCAGTATGTTGTAGTTTGTTGAGAAAAGATCTTGTGAAACCACCATATAAAAATGTAAGAATTCTGTTATCCAAAAACAAGATAATTTCTCTTGGTTATTTAATAGCATTTTTCCTAATATTTCGGAAAGATGGACAGGATTTTTGGTAGGTAGGCAGTTAAGATTTTAGAATTTTGCAACTAAGTAGTTTGTTGAACATTTCCCTTGCCCTACATTTGTCAATTCCCAAAGGTATATTAAAATGTCAATAAGATTTTACATAATCTTTTTTCCCAAACTTTTAGATAAAAAAAGACTCAGATTTTGCTCAATAATTCAGCTGTTGAATTCAGTACTCCTCACTCATTTAAACTTATTCTTTCATTGCCACTTAAATCAACAAGAGAAAATGCAATGGATGCTGCATGCAAAATTCTATTAGCTTCTTTTGTTTTTTTCCCCTCCTTTTTGTCCCCTCAAGGTATATTAAAATTTGTCATAACAATTTGGTTGTGATTGTTATCACCCTTATTATTATTATCTTCCCTTAGTCTTTGTTTATTTTTTAAATTATAATTATAAATTCAAGGTATTAAATTTGATAAATCAAAACTTTGTTTTGTTTGATA